GTGCGTGTGCGCGTGTGTGTGTGTGTGTGTGTGTGTGTGTGTGTGTGTGTGTGTGTGTGTGACGTATTCGATTTTCATAATGTCAATATCATAACAGTCAATTTTATAATCTAAGAACAAAGTATATCTCATTGTATCGGATAAAATAGAAAATCATAATACATACGTAAATGATATATACAGTTTAAAATTTTTATTTATATATTAATTATTATAAAGTAGCTTAAACAGATAACAAAAATCGAACGTAATTTTTAACGAGATTTCAAAATCTAATGTGAGATGTTACTTATTCAATTATATTCAATTCTCCAAAAAAAATGTTACCTTAGCAGCTGTAAAATCTGCCCCTAAAATGTATCTGCAATCAACAACAACCGGTATTTGACTAGATCCTTGCTTTATACCAGCATTACCGACCGATTTCTTTATAAAATCGACAGCTGGGAAATATAAACTATTTCCTGGAGTAACTAATAAGTATTCTGCACCACAATCAGTCTATAACAAAATATAGGATTAATTTTATTAAAATATTATTAGCAATATTTTGCGTGAGCAGTAACATCGTATATTTTGGAAAAGAATGATCCAATATTGAATTTATTCACAGTTCTACAACTAACGATTTAGAGTAATGAAAAAAGAAAAAGAGAAAGGATTCCTTTGTTTGAATTCAGTTTTTTTTTGCTACTACCGTGTATTTGTCGACGTGAACTGTAGGTCTTGCGGAAGGATACAATAGGAACATCAAATTTATAGCGACCCCCGATAAAATACCATATTCTACACCAATGATGAGACAAAATAAAAAAGTAACAAACATCGGTATAAGATCCTTTTTGCTCGATTTCCACATCAGTTTCACAACTTCGTACTCTATCATGTATATTACCGCGCAAATGATCACGGCCGATAATGAAGCTGAAAAAGAGGATAATAATTACGCCAAATTGACACTTCTTTTTTGTTGCGTACTACCATTAAAGTGCTTTGCTACCTTTTGGAATGAAATAGAAATATGGCGTAAGTAGCCTAAGGGCCAGTAAAATCAGAATTCCAGTATATAATCCACCCATTGGCGTCTTCACACCACTCGCATGATTTACTGCTGATCTACTGAATGATCCTGTAACTGGCATAGAACTCGCGCAGGACCCAAGAACGTTACAGATTCCGAGTGTCAAAAGTTCTTGGGAAGTATCAACTTTACCTTCATTCATAAAGGCCTTAGCTATGGCTACGTTACCGAGCACAGCTATTATCGGCACTAATATTATAGAAGTACCCAATTCGGAACACATTTGTGTGAAGGTAAGAGTCTGATTATTTACTTGTGTGGAAAAAGGTGGCAGGCCGAATGGTGGAAGACCAGATCTCACAGGACCCGTTAGAATAAACGGAGATTCAGATTCGGACGAATCATATTTGTAAGCAATAACCGAGCAAGTAACAACGACAATGGCGTTCCGCGCCGTAGAGATCAGCCATATCGCTTTCGCAATTATGCGTTGATAATTCACCGACTTCTTACTAATAACATGTAATTTAACATCCTTCATTTTCTGTAAATTGTATGAGACTTTTATAAAGAGAATACATCAGATATAATACAAATGTTGAACAAAGATTTATATAAAGATTCATTACTCTAAACAACAATAGAATTGCGATGCAAGAGATACTCATCCCAGTATCCCAGAGACTCGTATTACCAATATTTTGAAAAACTTTAATTAAAGTATCCATAAATCCTTGAGACGAAATTTTTAAACCTAATAATCCTTTCAATTGCGAAGCAACGATTATGACGGACGTTGCTGAAGTAAAGCCCACAGTGACTGGTATCGAAATAAAATCTACAAGTACACCTACAAAATTGTTTATATTAAACGCAAACAAATAACACCTATATCATTCGAGATATCAATCAAATAATGTAACAATAAGGGAGGTTTTGTGTGCAAAACTAGTACAAAATAGCCTTGAATTTACTTGGAAATCTTAAAATTTCCAGCAACCTTGCGCATAGCCTGCGTACCTTGCGTAAGTCTTACCTTGCGCATTTCTGAATGAAAATACTTTTTTCACTTGAAATTTTATTTTCTATCGCCGATGTTCACTTAAAATAAAGCATTTTCTTATTCGTTTGAGTCAGCATACCTAAGCGTAAGCATGCCATTAGTAATTGCAGGCAACCAGATAAGAATGCGAGAAGTATGGCGAAATCAGCATTTTTTCCTTGCACATAGTCGTGAGTCATTAATGCCATGAGTGCGGTGGGACCAATTGTAATATCTTTACAGGAGCCAAATAGCACGTAAACTATTGCACCCATAAATGCCGAGTAAAGACCATACTGAAACAAACACGACATTAATAACATGCTCGATCTGTATAAGAGATGAGCATTGATAAGAAAAACATGTTTATCTTACATACTTGTGGTTCCAAACCAGCCAATGTTGCATATGCAAGTCCCTGTGGCATAACAGTAAGACCAACTGTTATGCCGGCTATAATATCGCTAAGGAATTTTTCCGAGTTATATTTCGGTAACCATGCTAAGATCGGCACGCGTCTCGAGGCTAATTTGTGTAGCCGATCGATATAGGTTTTTTTCTTCCTACGATCAGCTTCAGTAGCCATCCTAAATCAAGCCAGCTTCATGGACAAAACGAACAAATAAATTTTTGATAATTAATAATGTAAATAAATGTACAAGACGAATAGATGAAGACGGGAATTTTTTGATTGCAAAGATGTCGCATAGAAATACTTTTTATATAAATTAATTTAAAATCGTTTGTATGATTTACATAAGTGTGTGTGTGTGTGTGTGTGTGTGTGTGTGTGTGTGTGTGTGTACATATAGATGATTCATGTCACATCGAATAAATAAATCAATGTTTCTCGTTTCTTCCGAGTTATACTTGTACATAACAAATACATAAAGTTAAAATATTATAGCTATGCTATTTTGAATAATTTAAAAATTCAATAATCAATAATAAAAAAAATGTACTTATTATTAACTGTTTCACTATTTAAAAAAGACGTTTACAAATATAAATATATATTTAAACATTTTAAATATATTTTTAAAAATATTTTCAAAAAATATTCCATACATATTATAGTAAATATAGTAAGAATGTTCTGATGCAAAGCTAAAAATAGCACCATTAGCGTTCTATTTTCCAAAAAGATAAATATAATACATTTTTTTTTAATAGATAAAAGCCTTTTATCTATAACGAATATCTATAATAACAAAGGCTTTTATTTATAATGACTATGCATAAAAATGTATAACAAATAGACATAAAACTACCGATTAGATATAAAATTATAAAATTAAAGAAAAATCTTGCAATTTACATTTTATCACATTAAATTAGTTTATCTAAAATTCTTTTTTCTTGTGTAATTAAAATTTAAAGTCTCAAAATTATGCTATGTAAACATATATAAACATAGCGATTAATTCTTCCTGATTGCTCTGAATAAATCAATGATGTTTTATCAGGATTATATATGTGATGTTACATGTACTTAAATATTCACGGAAGTACATATATATATATATATACACACACACACACACACACACACACACATCAATATAATATAATTTATCATAAATATAGCTCTCGAACGAGTGTATGTTATATCTCGTATCGTGCTTGATAAAGGTATGTTAAAGTTACCATAGACGAAAAACGTGGAATCGCAATTGCAACAATAAACGATCGTGGATAGAGAGCGATATGTGTACAAAGGTGAATACTTTCACTGGGAGAGAAACGGGTTTCGCCGAACATGCGTATTTGTTTTTTTTTCTCCGTGAAGTCACTCTAATTCATAGAAGCTACACTTTATGTACTGAATTTACTATCCCGGTAAATGTACCTCAAAGCTCTCTCGCGCTTATAAATTTCCAGCGGACTGTAGACTGAAAGTGCGTGTGTTCCGTCGTGCCTCTTATATACCCGGATAACGAACCGAACTTATATTGGTCGGGGAAAAGTCGCTGTTAACCTTCGCACTTTTTATATAGGAATCACGAAAAATATGTTAATCAATACGGTTATATGCATGTCACAGAGTATTTATTGAGATCCATTAAAAAATTTTTTTTAATTTCAGCGTTGTTTTAATATTTTTAGTAATAAAGTTTCATTAAAAAGATCTAAAAAAAAAATTGGAATGAATATAAAATTGGTTTTCAATTGCAAATTCCGTTTGTAATCCAAATTTTTTAATACTAATCTACAATAACATCTCGCAAAGAATTGTAAAATTTTTTTACTTTACGCACTTGTAGAAAAAAATTACATACTATTTATTAAAACTAGGCTATATTGTTCTTCAAGTTTTTTTTTATTCTTTCAAGTAAAGATTCAATATACTAACACATTCGCGATTTAGTATTATATTATGTACTAATACCGCATGCATTTAATTACGTTATTTTATGTGAGTGCATATACATTGAAAACCATTTAGTTATTATTTACTTATTTATGAAAGTATTAATAAATTTTTATGAAAATTATTTGTAAATATTATAAGATATACAATAAAATAATGTATTTAAAAATTAAA